CATTTTTTTTTTATTTCTTCCCCTTCCCGACGGGTTATAACTTATTGCGTTTGATCATATTATTATTATTATTATTATTATTATTATTATTATTATTATTATTATTATTAATTTAAAAATTGTAATTTTTATATAAATCGTAAAAATAATACATAAAAAAAACTTATTAATTACATAAATAAATAAATAAATAAAATAATTATTTATTTTGCTTTAATGAGCGGCCATTTTCATTTCGAGTCGTGAATGTATAAAATACATTTTATTATATATTTATAAAATTTTGTTATTATTATTCTTATTATTATTATTATCGTGTTGTAATTGTTGTTATTAATTAACATTAAAATTAAAATATATTATTAATAATAATAATAATAATAAAAATAATCGTATATTTTATTTTAAATAAATAAATTTTATATTAATAATCGATTTATTATAAATATTATTCAATGACGATTGATTACGTCATAAAATAATAATAATAATAATAATGACGATTGGTAAATTAGCTTTATATATATATATATATAAAACGAAAGAAAAAAAAACAAACACATTAATAAAAAAAAAAAAATTAATGTGGGAAATTTTGTTCAGACGAAAACGAAAAAAAAAATGTGGTGATGTTGGTAGTCATGAAAGATGATGAACGAAAGTTTTTTTTTTTTTATACATAATATTATTCTCTAATAAATAAATAAATAATTAAAATAATTTTTAGATAATTTTTAGATGATAATGATAATAATAATAATAATCGTGTATTTTTTTTTTTTTTGTGAAAATTGTTATTGTAAATTAATTAATTGTTTAAACAGAAGAGAGAATTAATAATTTTTTATATTGTTTTTAATTATTATTATTATTATTAAATTAATGCATTAATTATTATTATTATTAACGATGATCGAATAGAATTTAAATTTTCTTTTCGAAAAAAAAAAGCGAAACGAAATGTCGGTTTAATATTTATTTTTTCATATTATTTATCTATCACTTTTTAATCTATGGTTGTTAATTATTATTATTATTCTTATTATTATTATTATTATTAATTATTAATTATTTTTAATTAAAAAAAATAATTTTTTTTCTTATTTACCCCCATAAATACAAATATATATACATACGTGTTAATTTTAAAAATTTATTAAATTATTATATAATATTATTATTATTATTATCGATGATGATGATGATAATGATAACGATTGTATTTTATTAATACTGATTTTTTTTTTTATTAATTAAAACAATAAATAAAATCAAAATTTAATCAATTAGTTAATAAAAAATAAATTAAAAATTTTATTAAACGTTAAAATATAACCTATTTAATTATTATTATTATTATTTTAATATAATCGTAAATGGAAAGTATTTTCGTTCGGTTTATTATTATTATTATTATTTACGAAAAAAAAAATTTAATTAAATTACTAATTTATTATTATTATTCTTACTATTATCAATCGGAATGTGAAATTGATTTTATATTAACAACAAATCAAACGTGATTAATTATTTTCTTCTTACCTTATTTAATTTTTTTTTTTTATTACCGTAATTAATAATTTTTTTTTTTATAAAAAATTATTAATTGACGGAAGTATTAATATTTAAAAGTATTAAAAAATAATTTTTTTACGATCTGATAAGAAAATATAAAATGTAAGATGAATTATGATTTCAATTAATTTCATTTAATAAATTATTTCTTTTTAGAAAAAAAAAAAAAAACGGAAAAATTATTTTTATTATGTATAATTTTAAGTATAAAAAAAGAAAAAAAAATTTATTATAATTATTAAAATTATTATGTTGGTAAAATTTTTTTTTTTTTATATTTTATTTTATTATGTTGGTAATAAATTTTTTAATTACCGTTTTTTCGTTTTTTTCATTGGGGGAATCTTTATTTAAAACGACGAAAAAATAAAATTTAAAGAAAAAAAAAAAATTACTTATTTTTTTTTTAAATATGGCGACCGTTAAGCCGTTGTTGAAGAATTCAACCAGTCGGGTATTTCCCAATTATCATTATCATTTTTTATTGTATCTTTTAATTGATGATGATGATGATCAAATTTTACATTTCCGTCGAGAACAACAAAAGAACGACGATCCGATAAATTATCCGTTGTTAATAACGAAGAAAGTTTTTCAGAACATTTCCAATTGTTGTTTTCCACTATTTTATTTTTATTATTATTATTATTATTATTATTATTATTATTATTATTATTATTTTCTTCTAAAAGATAATTCGGTACTTGAGGGCTTTTAACTAATTTATCAAATGCTTCTGCTCTTTTTCTCGCTCTCCTTTCTGCTTCTTCTCTTATTTCGGCCGTCATTTCCGGTGTTGGAAAAACGTTCCAATTTTTCTTTTTATTTAAATAACTTTTCTTTTCCGGCGATGACGTCACTTCGAGCCTGTACGTCGAATGTTCGTCGTCGGACGTTAATTTATCACAATTGAAATAATCACCCCCGTTTAATTTTTGACATCCGTTTTGACCTTTGACATCGAGAACCTGAAACGCTTGAAACTCTTTCGGCGGACCTGATAAATAATCCTCTAATTTCGTTAAATTATTATTATCGAATTTCCCGGTTTTTTGTCCGGGTAAAACAAAATCGTCGTCTGGTACCAAATTTTGCGATTTCACCGGAAGATCAAATTTTATATTTTTCTCCAGATTTTTCCTGGAATTTTCTTCTAATTTTTTCACGTTCAGTCTTTCGTTGAGGATGGTTTCCGACAAAAACGTATTATCGTCTTCTAATTTAAATTTAATTTTATCTTTTTGTTTTTTTCTCGGCGACGTGGGATTAGATTTGAAATTTTTCACGGGTTTCAACATGTTGTTTCGACTCCTCGTTTCCGAAACTTTCAACTGTGGTAAAAATAAAAATTCACCGTCCAATTTCAAACTCGATGGCCTCCTTTCCCTTTTCACATCCTTATCGAATATCGTAAAACCAAATTTATCGATTTTTTCATTCGATTCGATATTTTTGTCGATTGTCGAGGATGGCGGTTGCAGCAGCGGCGGCGGCATCGTTTTAACATCATCACCTAACTTTTCAGATGATTTATTTTTATCGGACGAACTTATTATCATCTCTTGATTGTTTTCGACTTGTTTTAAATTTTCTGATTTTTCGACGGCCGATGCGGTGGCGGTAGGAGAAAATGCAGAAAACTTTTCTTTAGAATTTTCATTTAAGATTTGTAAATTCCCTTCGGGTTTTATCTGGTTAAAGGGTTTTCTAATAAACGGTCTCTCTCTCGGAAAATCAATATAATTAACTTTATACTCCGGAAGAATTTCCATTTCTCCTCCGACGTGTAAATTATTTTCCGGTTTGGCGCTCTGCGGTATTTGTACATTTTCAAAATTGACAAATTGAGTTTTCATTTCCGTTAGATTTTCAAATTTTTCCCCGTTGTTTTTCAACGTTTCCTTCGGTTTGTACGTCACGGGTCTCGACCTGTTGAAATTCACGTAACTATCCCTGTATTCGGGTGAAAATTCAAAATCTCCGTCCAATTTTAAACTCGTCGACCTTTTCCGTATGGGTGGTGGACGTCTCGGTGTGTCGTGGGCCACGTAACTCACATTATTTTCCGTTAAAAAATCAAAATCTCCATCCATTTTAAGCAAAGTTTTTTTTTTTTCCATTATCGGTCGTCTGCTCAATAGGTACGATATGTACTTGTCCTGTTGTTCCGTGGTCATGGATTCGAATTCTCCTTCCAATTTCAACGATGGAAGTCTTCGTATCATTTGCGATCTTTCCGCATTCGGATAAATGACGTATTCTTTTCGAACTTCCGTTTCGTTGGCCATGTCACCCTCGAGTTTCAACGCAGTCGATCTCCTGAGTAATTTTCTTTTTTCGCTGTTCGGATATAAAATATATTGAGAATTTTTTTCCGTCGTGTAATCCATCGGATAATCTATTATCAAAGGTTCCAATTTATTCGAAGGTATTTGTAATTTTCTCCTGGGATATTTTTTATAAGTTAATTTATAATCGGGTAAAAAAAAAAACAAATCTTCCTGAAAATTCGGTGAATTTTCCCTTTTGTTGCTGAACGATTGTAATTTTGTGGAATTCGAATTATAATTGGATAAATCGTAAAATTTATATTTACGCTTGTATTCACTTTTATAAGGTTCGATTTCTCCAATGTCCAAACTTATATTATCTTTATATTTTATATGATGGGGAGGTCGTCTTCTCCCGTATTTTTTTAATTCGTCCACCGTTATGCCCGGAGGAAAACCTAATTCCGAAAAAAAAAATTATCTTAAACAATTATTTAATTTTATACGATACCTCGTGATATAATATTTTACCTTCTGACACGATAGTCCAATGTTTTAAATCACCGTCGACAACCGAAGGGGGTGGTAATGGCGGTGGTGGTGATTTTTTACCACTTCCCAATGAGTACGAACGAAAATTTTCTGGTTTAGAATATTCGTAATTTAAATTTCTTTTATCAAATTTCGATTCGGATTGAATTCTACGCCGTCGGATTTTATCCCTGAAATAAAAAAAAAAAAATTATTATTTATTTAATTATGAACGAACGCTCCTTCCCCTCTCCTTCACTCCCCACTCCCCACGCCCCCCCGAAAAAATGTCAAACATGTGTTTTAAAGTCTCATAGATAAATTATTATTATCAATAAGAAAAAATTTTTGTTTAATCAACAATGAAAACATTATGTATTTTCTTTTTACTTTTTTTAACGTTTTTTTGAATAATAATAATAATAATAATAATATGTGAACGTAAATATCGAATCGAATCGAATAAAATCGAAAAGTTTTACGAGATAAAAATAATTTGATATGATTCGAGAAAAGCATTCAAGCATAAAAATAATTTAATTTTTTGAAATCTTGAATTGAATTATAAACTGTTGTTTTTTCCCCCACATTATTATTATTTTATTCAATGAAAAGAAAGAAAGAAAGAAAGAAGATGAACAAGAAGATGATGAAGTAGATGAAGATGAAGATAAAAAAAACAAAAAGAAAAAATTAGAAAAAGAATGAGAGAGAGAAAAACGTGCGTTAAAAATAATAACAAATTTTTTAATTTTTTTTTGTTTATTACTCGTATTGGTTATTAATTTTAATAATAATAATAATAATAATAATAATAATAATAATAATAATAATAATAATAAAAGAATTACGTTATGTAATATCATTACTTAGATATAAAAAATATTTGTTTAACCGAATTTCAAAAATTTGTTTTTGTCGAAAAAGACAAGAAAAAATAAACTTCCGTTTTTAAAAATCCATTTATTTCCGGTTTTTTTTGGGGGAGGGGGAGAATTTTTTTTTTATGAATCTGATAATAAAAATGTAGTGGTTGGTGTGTATATATATACGATCATTAAAAATATTTTTTTAATTATAAAACTCGTCTTTTAAAATAATAAAAAATTCGATTTTTTAATAAAAAAAAAAAAAAAAGTCTGCAATAAAAAGTTTTATTACAAAATTTAAAACTCTTTTATTTATTTGAACTTTTAATTTTTTTCCAACCTTTTTCTTCTCCTCCCCTTCCGGCCACCTTTCCCCTCCCCTGAGCTAAACCTCCCTCTGTAAATTTTCTATGAATAAAAAAGGTTTCAGGTAGTCCAAACAATTCACAAACGTCAGAAAAATTAAAAAAATTTCATGATTTGCTCCCACTTTGTCCTTCAAATGTTTAATAAATAAATCGTGGAAGAAAAAACCAAAAGAAAAAAAACCACGACAACAATTAAAATTTCCCAAAAAAAAAAAAAACATTTTTTTTCCTTTTTTCCGTGCTCCCCTTACAAAAAAAAAAAAAAAAAAGAAAACCAAAGAAAATTTTAATATCGAGGTATTAAGGTCAATGTGTTTTCTGTTTTTTTTTTTTTAACGGTGATATCACATCGTGGTACTAAAAATTAACTTCCTGGCCCAACAATGCACCGAAAAATGATGATGATGATAATAATAATAATAATAAAATTTTTTCTTTACACGAATCACGTAATAAATTTAAAGGAATGCACTTAAAAAAAGAAAATCAATTTTAAAATCGTAAAAATTTCTTATTTTAACACGTCGTAAAAAAAAGACCGCATACCGGTGGATGTGAATGATGGTAAGATGGTGGCAACCTTCCTACCTACGTACCTACCAACCTTACGTATTTTTATTAAACGTATAAAAACACATTTTACAAAAAAAAAAAAAAATTAATTTAATAAAATTGTAACAAAATTTTTTTAACTCCGTTACCCGGTGAAATGTTTCTGAGACTTACACACACACATACACTTTTACACCTGCCCACGTTTTTTTTCTCCCCTCCCCTAACTTTTATTAAAGCTCGCCAGACTTTTTCCCACTTTTTCTATTTTCTAATTCTGGAATGGTCACATGCAATGTTTAAACTCATTTCCTGACTTAACCGGTGACCGAGTTTTAATTTTTTTAAAAAAAATTTTATTCCAATTTGCATACGCCCTTTAAAATGGGGCATTACTTACGTACCCTACTCGAGCCCAAAGGCGATTATTCTTAAAAAATAAACCGGAAATGATTTTTTTTTTTGAAAAATTTCAATTATTCCCGATTCTATACTAAGTTCTTAAGGCAGGACCGTATTCGGATTTTTTTTTTTTCGAAATTAAACAAAGCATTGATTTTTTGAAGAGTTTTCTCTTCGTTATCATGGCGTATTTAAAATTTAAAATAAAATAAAATTAATTTTGTTTATCAAATTGTATAAGGAGAAGAAAAAGAAGAGAGAGAGTGATAGCGTGACTATCGATTAAATTTTAAAAAAAAATAACTAATTAAAAATAAAGAATGAGCTTTCATAAAAATAAAATAAAAACGTTCTAGAAAAATTTAAAAAAAAAAAAAAATTGAAACGAACGAACGTTTTCCCATTTAAAATTTTATCTTGATTTTTTTTTTTTTTTTTTATAATAAAAAATTAAAATTAAAACCTTTTTCTTTTTTTCGAAGGGAGGTGGGTGGGTGGAGAAGGGGAGGGAAACGGTTTTTTTTTTTAAACAAAGCGTGATTTTTTAAAAAAATCTAATAAAGACGCTTTTGTTTGTTTCCCCCCTTTTTCCTCGTTCCATTTTTTTTTTTTTTTATACCTCCCCATAAAAACTAAAAAAAAAAAAAAAATTTTTTTTATAACGACGACTCACACAACAAATATACCCAGAATATAAAAATAAAATAATAATGATGATTTCATATAAAGAATTCGAAACGTTTTTTTTTCGTTCGTAATAAAGCCATTGTTTCCCGCACCCCCCCCCACTAAAAATTAAAAAAAAAAAAAAAAAGTTTTATCCGCTTGTGTGTGTGTTAAACCCCATAATTAGTCTTGTTTCCTTTTTGTACCTTTTTATCCATTTTTATTTTTTCAAAAAATTTAAACTTAATTAATTTACGGTCAATTAAAACCTTTCGTTAAAAAAAAATAATATTAATAATAATAATGACGCAGTTAAAAAAAATTACGTATTGCGTGTGTGGGTGCGTGTGCAAAAACGCATTTAACGTGTGAGAAATATATTTAAAACGAATCAAACGATCAAATCTTTATATTGACCTCAATATTTATATTTATATATATATATAAAGTGCAAAAAGTCTTAATCGGAGCAAAATTAATCGATAGCAAAAATAAATGAGAAAAAAAAATGGATTGATTACCTAAATAAATTAATAATAATATTATTTAATGATAAATTTTTTGTAAAGGTCAATAACCTTTTCAAGTATTAAGAACGTTCGTTTGTATGACAAAAAAACAAATCCGAATCCCTACTTTGACTTCCTGTTTTTTTTTTTTTTATAAATATTTTATCATTGTTATACTTTTCTTTAAAATTTTTCAACCCTAATCTATCCTTCTCTCTCTCTCTCTTCATGGCTGCTTTTTCTTACCCTCTCGCAAAAAGTAATGGGACAAATTAATTAGGGTCAAGGTACGAATGAAAATTAAAAAAAATTTTATAAGCATCTATCAATTCACAATTTCTTACCGTGATAAAGTGTTTAAGGGGGTCAAAAAAATTTTATATAAATATTTCAAAATTTAAATTACTCCCTCCTTACCTTAAGAAGTAAAAAAAAAAAAACGTAAAAATCTATTACTACCCCCCGAAGAGATTTCGGATTAGAAAATTTTGTTTTAAAAAAAAAAAAAAATCGATTTTTTCAAGGGGTAGAAAAAATTTCTCACGACTCCAAAACCAAAAGGAAAAAAAAAAAACTCGACAAAAGTGACAGAAATCGATTTTGCAACCCTCTAACATTTCCCCCCCCTTTTCCCCCAACATTTCTACTCTCCCTCCCTCACATTTTTTTTTTTTATTACCCAAATTACCCGTAATAAAAACTTTTTTTAACTGTCGTTTTACTGAAAAAATTTTCTTTTTTTTTTCATTTAACCCTAAAAATTAATTTTAATCGTTTTAAATTTTTTTTAAACTAAAGGTCAAAGGTTACAATAAAACAATTATCAATAATAATAATAATTGGAGAGTGTAAAACAAAACAAAAGAAAAACAAAAATCGGGCGAATCAATTAATTTTTTTTTTTGGAAATTCACGAAACGATATTCAATAATAAACTTTTCCAGCTCGTTAATAACTTATTAATAATTTAACGATGATTTACACAAACAAACAAACAAACAAACAAACGAACGAACGAACGAACCAAAGTATAAACAAACAAGCGAAGCGAATTAGCCAAAAATAAAAAATTAAACTTTTTTCAACACATAATTAATTTACGTTTCGATAAGTTTCGATAAAATAACTGGAAATTGGAAGGAAAAAAAAAATTTTTTTTTCTTCCAGTTCCTGGATAAAATATACATATATATAATTATTATTATAAATATAATAATAATAATAATAATTTTTTTACATTTTTTATTCCAGTTAAATTTAAACGCGTGCATCATTTATATGCAAGAAAAAAAAAAAAAAGAAAATTTTGCACGAAAAGTTTTATTTCCGAAAATAATAAATTTAAACCGGATTAAAAAAAAAAAAAAAAAAAAATACTTGTATATACAAACGATGATAATAATGATAGTGATAATGATAATAATACTTCGCTATCATGCACGTGACACGTGATTAAAAAAAAAAAGAAATGAAAATTTTAAGGATTTTCCGTTTTTTTTTTTTTACTTTTTTAGTTTGGTTGGTAGCAGGGAGCCGATAGGTTTTTTTTTTCAAATCGTAACGGTCATTTCTTTGTAACGGTTTTTTTTAACGGTAAGAAAGAGAGAGAGAGAGATAAAAAAAAATAGAAAAAGAATTTTTTAAAAATATAATTTTACCTTTTTTTGTGCGTCGAATAATTCGTATCCATCACGGAAAATCATCGGAAACATTCGCCATTATTCCATTTGTAGTTTCTCTATGTAAAAGAATGAAAAAAATTTCAAAATTTTTTTTTTTTTTTTTTTTACCCCGGGGAGAAGGGAGGAAAGTGCGAGAGAAGTGGGATCGGAAGTAAATCCACCTTAGAAACGAAAACTTTTGTTTGCTCATGTCTGTTTCTAGATTACACCCTCCCTCCTCCTCTCTCCTTTGGGAACCACCACCATCCCCCCAATTTTCGATAACCTTCTCTTCACTACCTACCCGTACTTAAAAAAGATTGATTCGAAACGAAATTTTTTGATTTGATGGGGGACCCACGATAATAAATTTTAAAATAAAAATTATCCCTAATTGTTTTTAACGTCTTTAATTTTCCTGTCTGTATTTTAAAAAAAAAAAATTTTTTTTTTACTCGAGTGTAATTTTAAAATAATTTTTTCGGACATCAAAAAAAAAATAAAATAAAAATTTTAAATTATTTATATAAAATTCTGACCTTTTATGTGTCAGTCCGTGATAAAATAAAATTCCGTTTTGATAAAAGATAATTTCATTTTTCTTTTTTTTTTGGAATAAACTTCCGGTAAAATTCAATTAATTTTCTTTTTTTTTTTTTTGTAGGGGAATTTTCTTCAAACTCAAATCATTTCCGTTTGTTTATTATTTTCCAAATGTTCTTAAAATTCTTCTTCTAAAACAGAAGAGAAAAAAAAAACAAAAATTAATTTTTTTGAAATTCGAAATAAAAAAAAAAAATATTTTCCACCTGTCGGAAAATTTAATAAAACGATAGAAAATTCTAGAATTTATTATAATAAAATTTTTTTATTTAATAAATAAAGGCATTGAATGATATTTGAAGAGGTCTTCGATAGATAAACCTTTGACACTCTCCAAAACCGGATATTATAATAATTAAATTATTTGAAATAACAAAATGAAACGAAATCAAGTTTCAACGAAAGAAAAAGTTAATAAATGTTTGATAATAAATATTTACAAAATACTAAAATCTAACCGGAAAAGGAATTCGAAAAAAAATTACACGACGACGATGATGATAGTCGTAATAATAATAATAATGTTTTAAAGAAAAATTTGATTTAAAAAAAAAAACAAACGATTCAAATTTTCTCATTAGTTTTCGTTAGTTTTTTAATCGATATTTAAATTATCGATTAAATTTCTTTTATGTTTAGTTATTTAAATAAAATTTATTATTGTTTCTCCTCCTGCTGCTGTTGTTTGTTGTTTGTTAGCCTATTTTTACGGTCACGCTGACACACAAACCGCTTTTTTTTATTTATTCTTTAACATTTGAAAATTTTTAAAACAATAAATTAATTAACTTAACAAAATAAAAATTTATTTATTTAAAAATTTAAATATTTATATATATATTTTTTTCTTATACATAATTTTTTTAAAAATAATAATTATTATTCATAAAAAAAAAAATAAAAATAAAAACACGTAATAAATAACCGCGAGTAAAAAATTATAATAATTTTTTCTTTTTTTCCTATCCCTTTATAATTTTATTATGACTATTGCGATTATGAATCGCTTTTTAAATGCGGCGCTACCAATTACCAAAAAAAATAAAAAAATAATAATAATAATCATTTTCCTACTGAACATAAATGCAAAAAATTTTTTTTTTTTTAAATTCACCGTTTTTATCACAGCCACGTTTGATAATATTATTCATTCGTCGAAAGCGAATTTTAATATTTTAAAAATTATGAAACCGGGCAAATAAATGAAATTTCTCCCTCCTCCCTACCCACCTTTAAATTTCGACAGTTTTTCCCAATCCCGTCCATCTATCGGGTACCGGCAAAAAATACCTGTGCATGGCCGCAATGAAACGATCCCTGTAATCTTTCGGTTGAATGACCGTGGGTTGCTTACCCTGCCCTCCCATGATGACCGATTTTTTAACCATCGTTTCCAATTTTTTATCCCACGTAAACGTTCTGATGTAATCTGAAAAACAAACGGACGATTTCAAAAACCTTTGGTACCCTTAATAAATTTTCGCGAGTTCGGATTGAATCGAATTTTTTCTATACCTATTATTCCGATGACGAGCTCTCGTCTGTCCTCATCTAAACCCACGAGCAGGGAATAATCCATGACGGTTTGTGCTGCCAGAAATTGAGTATCGTTTTCAATGGCGCTCATCAATACGGCTTGCGAATGAGAAAGAATGTAAAGCGGAGAATCCGTCGTGACTGAAACGAGAAAAATAAATCGGATGTTTTTTTTTTTTTATTATTCCGACCGAAACCGGAAACCAAATTTATTAATAATACTCACTTTGAAGCAAATTTTCATCCAAATACACAATTTCTCCTTCGCCTTGCAAAGATGGATTCACCAAACGATTCCTCACGGAACCTTTCAAATCGTATTTTTGCGAAACGTTTTTTTTGTAAAAAAGATTTTCCATGACTAATAAATTGCACTTTAATGTAGAATTCGTATTGGTGTTTCGAAAACTCACGGTGTACACACCCACGATTTTCCCTAAAAGCGTAGGCTGATTGGAATCCTGACATTTTTGTATGTAATTAAAATAATGATTGGCAAAATCTAAAAACAGCTGGAGTTCCAATTTCGACATTTCCTTTAAAATAAATCTATCATCTAAAAAAAAAAGAGAAAAGAAATTCAATAATTCAACTGAAAGTAATAGTAATAGTAATAATAATAATAATAAAATTGCGTTTACCTTTGGTTTTACAAAACGTTGACCCTGATTTCCCTCCTCTTGCGGCCCAGTGAACGCATCTCGATAAAGAGCGAACGAAGGCTTCTTCGCCGATGGGAAATACCGTTTGTCTCAAAGCAGCAAATTGATCCGCAAAATATACCCGACAGTAAAAATTAGTGCTGCCGTCACCGAATATGATCTTTTATGAGTCGTAGATATAAAAATAAAATAAAATAAAATGATTGAGCTTTTCAACTTCTTAAATAAAAATAAAAATTCAAAAAAAATTACACACTTCGACGTGAGATGTCGACGATGATTTGCTTCCTTTTTTCAATCCCTCTTCCGTTTTGTCTTCGAGATCTAAAATATTCGCACTTCCGTTATCCGAAATTCCGGACACGTTAAGTCCCGAATTATCCCCGGCAGATTTCGGATTTAAATTTTGATTGCTGCTCGGAGTCACTTGACTATTTCCTCTTAAAAATGATAAAACGGTGGATTTTCTCGAATCAGAATTTTCTGTTTCTTTTTCGGCGCTGAACGTTAACGACAGAGTTTTTTTACGTGCCACGGGACTAAAAAAGCAATCGACAAAAAAAAAATTTTTTTGCTTAGTTTGAAAATTGAATAATTTTTTTTCGTTAGTATTCCCACCGCCACCTTACCTGGGAATAGGTCCCTCCGAAGATGACGAAAGATGTAATTTTCTTTGCTGAATATCTTCCAGAAATTTGTGATAATCGTGAGAAGACAAAGCGTAGGAAATAATAGAAGACGGTTCGTTTTCATGCACCATTATACTGGCATTGACACCTGGGGGTAATAAATAATGTTCCTGAGGATTCCACGGATTCTGAAAGTCGAATACAAATAAAAGACATCATTTTGGATTGATCGAAAAAAAAAAAAAAATGAAATTCAGTTGGTTGATTAATAAATAATAAATACCATCAAAGGAACGTATTCCTTATTAGAAGTGAGTATGTGTGATAAAATATTTTTAACGGACTTTTTATCATATTTGCTGTCGGCTTGACTTTCTTCGCAGTTAGGATTAGAGTCGCAACTAATTTTTCTACTGTTCGAATCGTCTGCAGTCTTATCCTGTTCGCAAATGTCAGACGTGCTGAATCGCACGCTCAAATTATCATCGGAATCCATATCCATGGAATCCGTTACGCTGTCCATAAATTGATGACCCGTATTGTTTGTACTGTCTAACGTTGTGTCATCTCCGAGTTCTTCTTCTTTATCAATTCCCTAATGAATAACATGAATTGTGTCACAATCGAACACAAAAAAAAACTTTTCAAAAAAGAAAACAAACACTTACTTCATGTCCATCCGGAAAAGAAAATTGACTCGCTGATTTAGAACCCTCACTCGTTCGTTTAATTTTTTCCCTTTCTTTATCGTCTTTTCTTTTCGTTGCGTTCGCAGCCTCTTGAAACCGAGCATTCCAACCAATCACAGCCTCCATAATCAGCTTTTTTAAATAAACAATCGAATCTTCTATTCGCCACAACAATACTTCGATTTCTTTATCGCATTTGTTTCCGTCCGGTTTGACATTTTCAAATACCGGAGAAGTTAATTTTAATTGAATTTCTTCAATTTTAGCTTTAAAATGCGCATGCTCCTTTTGTTGCAAAACCTTCATAGCTTGCATATCTGAATCAAAGAAAAAAATTAATTTTACCGAATAAAAATTTAAAAAAAAAAATTTATTTCTTATTTATTTACCATCTTCGCTTCCTTCCAAGTTATGAAGATGTTCCAAAATTAAAGAGAAAATATCGTGACCCTTGATAGCCAAATTTCTAAGTTCGTCGGTTATTGTATTTTGCGTTACGTTTTCGAATTGCAAATTAATCACCGACGGCGGAAGACAAATTTCCCAAATTCTTATGGTCGAAAATTTAAATAGTGCGACAATTTTATTCATTCCGAAATACTGGAAGTGATCGTGATGAAGTGAATGTTTGCACGAATCCGAATTTCTTCTCGTGTAAACATGAGCTCTAAATCTAAGTTCCAAATACTTGGCAAAAGACAACGACCAAGTATCGGAAGACATGGGAATCATAGGAGTACCCTAAAAAAAAAAAAAAAAAAAAAATTTTTTTTGTAATTTTATAATAAAAAAAAAAATTAAAAAAAATAATTTTATTATTACACTTACTGTTTGACATTTTGGACACCAACTCCACATGACAATTTGTTTCGAATCAAGTTGTTCCAAATGATTTAGAGTCAAATGAATGCATCCGGGATCGTGAACAAATCTTCTCACGTGATCCAACATTGGAGTGTTACAAGTGGCGGAAGGACAATTGTATGATAATCTGAAGCAATATCTTTCTAAAAAGCTTCCCAGTGAAATATCATAAGTTCCGTAATAATACATGTTAACTACCCTAAAACATCATCGGGAAAATTTTTAAAAAAAAAATTTTTTTTTTTCAAATAAATAAGTGAAAAATAAAAAATAAACTCACCAGGGATCAACACAAAAAGTTGGAAAATTCTGACTGGAGTAAGAATAACTACAAAACAAAACAGCTAATCTTTGATGATTGACGGGATCTAACACGTCTAATTTTTCTGATTTTTTTGCCACAGCAGAATTTTTAATTTGATTTTTTGTATTTTCTCGATATTCTTTTTTTTCGCTCTCCGTAAGAATGTACGGGATTCTTCCTCCGTTTGCACGATACAATGCAAGCAACGTTTGTACTTCAATGCTGTCGGCAGTGTCTGTAATCTTAGCAGTTACGAACGGATGCTTGGGAAGTAGTTCAATGCCTTTTAAATGATTGGTTACGTTATTGTTTTCCGAATCCTCTAAAAAATTTCCAAGCTTATCTAATTCTGACTTGTCTAAAAATTGTTTCGAATAAAAAATATCCTTGGGAAAGTATTTTCTTAATATACAATTACGACCGGATTCTGTTTCTAGATACGGTACCGCAAATTTCACGAATAAACTGACCGATAGTATGGTATCGTCAAGAGACTTTCTGAATTTATTGCTAAATGGTAACTCTGCCACTGATAACTGTTCCACCAAGTTTGTGTCTGTTTGTTTAGATGTTAAGTCATCGGAATGATTTAAATAAGACTGTAAAGGATCGCTACAGTCTTGAACAGTTTCCACTGTTATTTTTTTATCTTCCTTATCCATTTTAATTTTCGATTCCGTTTTCGTTTTTGATTCAAATTCGGTACATTTATAATCTTGGTCGGGAGATTCTTCAAATAATTCGTAGCAAGTGTTTGGAGGTTTGGCAAATTCGTCCACCAAAAATGACTTTTCCAATTTCCAATTGTAACAGGCAAAAATCATGAAGTTGACAATTTTTTTTAATTTTTTCAATTCCGACATATTTCCCCCTCTTAAAAGAAGTGAACATCCAGCAGCAGGATTTGACGAGCCTTCGAAGAACATGAGTGTTTTAATTCCTTCTAAAATTAAAAGAAAAATTAAACATTAAAATAAAATAAAATAAATATAATAATATATTTTCATAATTTTTACTCTTAAACTCGATTTCACTTACCGTTTTCTGTTTGAAAAGTTTTTAAATAAAACAATTGACAAGTTCCTAACTGAGGTTTACTTATGTGGGCATCAACGCTGGTGACAATATCAGCCTCTGTAAATCTGGATACTTTTTCCAAAATGCTTAATTTTGTGTTGATCACCAGAGTAATTCCAAGTTTTAAAAGATACTCCTGAGCTAATCGAGAAACATTCCTAAAATCAACCGCTACTCAAATAACATATAATATAATATAACATAATATTTTTTTTTTGTAAAACCAAGTTTGATTATATAAAAAAAAAAAAAAAGAAAAAAAAAAGTAGAGTCTTACTTGTACACCATAACAATATCAGGCTGTAATGCAGCTATTCGAGCAACTACATGCCTCAAGTATTCGTGCTCCTGCATTATTACCGGTTCCAAAGGTAATAAACGACCTTCGATTCTTTCGTAAGCAACGGAACAACGAAGAAGAAGAATTCTAGGATTTAAAATTCGAGATCTCATAGATCGGTGGGCAATATTTTTACTGCAAACTATTCCCGGAACAATGCAACTATCATTTTTATGACTTCCCGGTAACTTTTTTATTTGAACGTACCTATTTAAAAAAAAATTTTAACTTGAAACTACCCGACGTTTTTGGCATTTTAAATAATTTAAATCACTTACAATCGAATATCCATTTCATCTTCGTCATTTTTCATATCGGGACGAACTAAATCTATCACTTCAGAAGTTATTTTTTGAATCGTATCTGACCAAGACTGGTTAAGACCTTCGGTGCTTAACATTTGCCGTACAAGACTTTGTTTGTGATGTTCAAACGCTAAGCTAAAACAAAAAAAAAGTATTTAATTCATCCAACAAACCTAATGTGAGCGATTAATTAATTTCCATAAATATCTAATGTTAATTTTATGCATCAATATTACTTGAAGCAAAAAAAAAGTTGAAAAATGATGAATACCTAAAATTCTGATGACTAGGATCTTTTCCGTCTATTTCTGGAACTAAACCGGATGCTTTATCCCAGCTTGAATTTAGAATTAATTCATTAGAATCTTTTCTAAGATTAATTTTTTCTTGCAAAATTTCCGATTGTTTTCCTTGGGTACTCGGAGATTTATCTAAATTTTGAAATCCTTCTAGCAATGGAGGAGAGGGACGACTAACATGGACTATGTTGTCTCTTACATTTATATTTAGTAAATAATTCGAATTTGATTTTTTAAAATTATCTTCTTCCGAACCCGATAACTTCTCAGATTCGGAATCTGTACTCTGATGCTGAATTTGTTTAACCCATAAAGGCTCTTGTCCATCGCTGGGATTACTCATATCCGAATTTTGCGTAACTAAAGATACTGGGCGGTAGAGTGATAAACCATCAACAAAACTTAATTCACTGACAGATTCCAGATATCCAGCTTCCAATAAAGCTTGCCCAATTGCTATTCCCTGAACTCTGCAAATTTGCAATAAAATAAAATTTTCGTTATTAAATTTATCTTTCTTAGTTTTTAACTTAAGAATATATTCCAATACCTTGTTCCTGCTTTATTTTGTGTAAGTAACCAATCAATTAATTCACTTCCAAAAAAGCAATTTGGAAAACTTCGAAGGCGGTATCTATGCGATTGCAAAGGTATACCATTTGGTGGAGTTACTACTTCTTCATACAAGTTTCTTAAACTTGTTGAGCTTTGTAGTGCTCTACATCTTTCTTCCTCTGACAAATAACTAGGACTTTGAGCTCGACCCATAAAAAACATTTCTTCTTGATAACCTTAAAAAACAATAACGTTAAAATAAATTTGGAGCATATAAAAAAAACAAATTTTTACCATTATTTAAAATTTGTAAAAAAACAAAAAAAATTTTAGTTAAAATAAAAATTAGTATTAAAAATTATGATTTTAAAATAGCATTCCAAGGCAAATAATATAACTAAAATTAAAAATATAATAAAATTTTCGGTTTAATTTTAGTAAAAAAAAAAAAAAAAAAAAAAAAAAACATTTAATTTTTTTCGACTACTTTGCAAGCCAAGGAACGAAATTAGTTACCAACAGATAATTTTCTTCTTAAACTTGAATTTGCTTCCCCTTTTTCAGAAATATCACATGAAGAAACATTACCAGTTTGAAAATTATCTGCATTTTTAACAATATTTCCAAATTTAGTTTGCAAATCTTCCTGTAAAGCTTTAAGATCAGCTGATAAATCAGCTCCAATATCAGCAGATTGAAGATATGACAAAACCACTTTGCAGCAATAGGTGCAGACTCTTAAATCACCTGTAATAATAAAAAATATATACCTGGTGATTTTTAAAAATGCTTTGCAGTGTAAACAATAATGTGAAGTAAAAATGAACATAATAAATACAACAAAAATTAGTAAACAAGTAAAACTACTTTTTTAAACTAATACTTTTAAATCGTAAAATAAAAAAATCCTAACCTGTACATCCCATTATTTTTCCAGGTATTTCCTGATTACAACATTTCGAACAGAATATTTGACCACAAACTCTACAATGATGCCTTCTTCGAAATGTTGTAAATTTCTCACCACAGTCATAGCATTCTTTACTGAAAGAATCCGGCATCCAATATTGTTTTAAGTCAGTATCTTTATAAGAAGTTAGACCCTATAATTAAAGTTATACTAATTTTTTTTATTTTCAAAATCACAAATTTTTTTCAGAATATGTATATTCTTACTGATAATATTTACTTACAACATTTTTTAAGGCAACTAAATTGCTTATTCTTTTTAATACATTTGGTAAGCTCCTTCCTTCACTAATGGTTAACGAATACTGTAAATTTGAATTAGAAGCTGCTTCAGATGTATTTGCAGGCTGTTGCCATTCAGTATCACTTTTACTAGAAGCATTTTCTTTTTCTTTGTTGGATTCTTGATTATCCCCTCCTTTAAAATTACATTTTAAATTTAAATTTATATGTTATATTTTAAAACAACACAATAGAGTTTTCTTTTTAACACAGTTTAAAGTTTTACCAATAAAATTTTTTAGGGTAATACAATTTTAAAAACCCAGTTTGTGAAATGCATTAATCTTTTAAAATATGTTGACAATTTAACAATTGACATTAAGGAAACTTACATGCAATAGAAATTAGTAATTAATATAAAAACATTTAATATTTTATTTTTGATAATTACCTCTGCCAAGTTTAAAAAATTTTGAAATTCCAAGCAAACTAAAACCTGATCTATCCTCTGGACTCAGAGGAGCGAATTCTGTTAATTCTGAAGTGGAATCCAAATTTCGATGCATAATTACAAATATTAATTTATAAATACTTTTTTATAAAATTAGGACATTACGAGTAAAAATATAATATCATATTTTCAAAATCCATATAAAATTAAATATATGCATTTACTTTCTTAAGCCATAGAATTGCTGAAGTTCTGTCTGGAACGACCACCTGTCAATATAAATATTTTTTAAATACATAATTTTGTTTTTTTTTTTTTAATAAACTTAATTACTGATTTAAAAAATTAAAAAAAAATTTTAATTAGTTTTTTTAAAGTCACAAGCTTATAATAAATTAATATTAATTTTTTAATTTGTTATCAGATTTTAATATGACTAATAACTCCATAAAAACCTCTTTTAAGAGGTAGGGTTATTGTAATTGGTAATTTAGTCTTTATTAAAAAAATTTAATATGTCTGGTTTTCCTCAGATAGTTGTAGGAACGTACGAAGAATTTTTATTAGGTTACAAACCTAAAATTGAATTTGACTCGGTTAGTTAGTATTTCTTCATATGCCACTTAATCCTTAGCACAGTAACTTGCCATTAAGTATACACACTTCATTTTTTTTTTTTTTTGCAGGGAAAAAAGTTTAATTTTTTTCAAACTTTTGCCTCGCATTCTCATCAAGCCAGTTTAAGATGTGTGGCAGCTAATAAAAACTTAATGGCTTCATCTGGAGCCGATGAATATGTTTACCTATATAATATGAATACAATGAAAATGTTCAATGTAATAGACTACCATGATGCTACGGTTACTTGTTTAGAATTTACTCCTGACAATTCACACTTGATTACTGCTAATCAAAAAGGAGATATAGCTATATTTCAATGTAAAGATTGGAGTTTAGTGAAGTTATGGAAAGAAGCTCATAAACATGCTAATGGTGAGATGATAATCATAAAGTAAAGAATTCTTTTTTGCAAAGCGAAATATTGAAGCCTTAATTATCTTTTTAATTTTTAAATAAAAAATAATTTAGGGGTCACAAGTGTGAGTGTACACCCATCAGGAAGTTTATTATTGACAACAGGTGCAGATAATAAACTTATATTTTGGAATCTTATCAAAGGGCGAAAAGCATATACTAAAAATTTTTCTAAAGTTTCAATTGGTTGTTTTTTGAATTTCGCCCAGTGGTCTCCAACAGGAAAATATTATGCAGTTTGTATTGGAAAACAATTAGAAGTGTACAAAACTAGTACTGCCAGTGTTATTTATAAAATTGTTGTTAACTCCAAAATATCTTGTGCTACATTCTGTAAAGTAAGTACCTGCATAATAAGCTATTTTAATATATTTATTTGATATTTATTATGATTTATTATTTTAATTATTATTAACTTTTTGTTAGAAAACTCTAAAAATGGCAATGCATATTTGAATCTGTTTTTATCTGTTAAATATTTTTCAGAAAACGTTAATATGTATTGGAACTGATGATGGACAATTAGAAATCCATTCGATAATAGAAAAAAAATTACTTATTCAAGAACATTCGCATAAAGCAAGACTTAAATGTATGACATCATTTTGTAAAATGGTGAAAAAAAAGAAAATAGTTAAAAATAATGATTATTTGGTAACAGCAGACAGTAAAGGTTTAATTAAATTATGGTGTATAAAGGTATTTTATAATTTTAAATTTATAAATGATAAAATTCTACAGTATTAATTGATTTATTTGTAATTTTTTGTTTTTTTTTTTTTATTTTTCAGAAAAAATCTGATAATTTTCGTTTGATACCTAAATGTGAGATAGATTGCGATTGTCGAATAACTTGTGTGACTAAAGTATGCATTCATACATTAAACTTAAACTAATAATATGATCTATTATTTTTCTTTATGTATACTATAATGTTTTATAATATCTTTCAGGTTTTTCCTATGAGTGTTAAGAAGGAAAAATTGGAACAAATAGATATTGTAAATGAAGTTACAAACAATGAGACAATTGACGATATAGCAATTGAAAATTACATAAAATCTCAGGAAGACAAACACAGCAATGAAAGTAATGAACAAGAACAAAACCAAAATAATAAAACCTGTAATAAAAATTCTCAAATCATTGAAATTTCAGAAGAAATATCTACAGTCAATAATAAAAAACCGAGAAAATTTAAAAACTTAAGTGGGAAAAAAAATTTAAAAAACATAATACAAAGTAATCAAAATATACTTGAAAAATCATTAAATGGTAAAAAGCATAAAATTAAAAACGATGGTTCTGTGAAAATGAAAAATAATAAAAAAATAAAATTATCAGGTTCATTTTCTATAGACACAAAAGTCAATAAGTCTGATGCTAAAAAACTATCATTATAAAGTAAATAATTCTGAAATATAATATTCGTTTTAAAATTATTATTTGTATCGATATTTTTTGATTGTGAACCTTTTACTTTTTTTTTTCTTAGAATAGCAAATTTTGAGTTTGAGTTATTTGAAATTTTAAAAAAAAAAAACCAGAGGTAAATTAGAATAATCTCACAAAATTTTTATACATTAATAAACTTTAAATGTTTTATTAATAAAAATTATTAAAATTAATACTTTTAAAAAATTTAATTTTATTAACTAGATATATTACAGTTACTAAGTATCCGTTTCTGATGAATGCGAATTGATAATTTTTTGTAAATGTGCTATTTCTTTAATCATTTCTTCAACTGGTACATTTTTTTTATGTAAATTTGAGGTGGGTTTAGGAAATTCATCATCATTTTTACTTAACTCCACCATTGCTTTGGGATTATCATTAATTACTGTCGCAAGTAAAGGTATATTCTTATTAGGATTTCTTTTTTCCCATAGTTTCTACAAAAAAAAATTTATTAAATAATTGAAAAATAAATTATTAAGAAATGAAAAAGTATTTTATAGGTTCATTAGTGTTCTTACTTTGTACAATGGTGGCCAATACATATATTTGGGAACAATTCTATTTAAATTTTTTTTACTGTATTCTTCAGCTAATTTTAAATATTTTTCCTCTTCATGTTTGGGTATTAATATAAAATTAGGCATTTCGTTTTTTTTTTTAAAAACGATTTCTTCTATTTTTTTTCCTTTAAAAATTTCTTCAGCCCAAACAAAAACATTCCGGTCATAATGCTGAAAAGTATTATATAAATAATATTATAAGGTACATGTAGTAAACATTACAAAATTAAATGAAAAATTATTAAATTACTTTTATAATTGAAAAATTTTAAAGCAATAAAATACATAAATCGCAACTAACCTCTTTAGTTGGAGGAGGCAAAGGCTGCACTTTTACTATTTTAAAAAAACTAGGTTCAGAATATTTGAGCGTTAAGGAATCGATAATCAGCCTTCCAACTCCAAAATTTTTTAAATTTCCAACAATTTCCCACAATGGTTTACCTACATGTGGGATTTTTATTCCAATTTTTTCAATCTTCATTATGCAATCCTTAGTATTTCCTTAATTTTATCAAATTACATATTTTTTTTAATTAGATTTTAAAAAATAAAAATGTACCGAATATCACGGAGGTTAGAATTGTTTCAAAACAGTAACTGAACTTTTATTTCTAAAAGTTTGAAACAAGTGTTTGAAAACAATGAAATGGCGGGTAAAAATTACTTTAGCGTTGTGCATTAAATTTGTGAGTGATTTTTTTTTTTTTTAATTCAATAGTGCAGTTTTAAATTTATTATATTTCTTTATTTTGTAAGTTAATTTAAAAAATAAAATGTTTATTACAATTAAGTCTTACATCATTACATAAATGTATTTAAAATTATGTGAAGTCTTCAATTAGTGTATTGGTAAAGTGCATTAAAGTGTTGTATAGTGTATTAAAGTGTATTTTTATAAAAAGTGATACATAGTGTAGTTTTATCGTTAATTTGTAATAAATATTTTAAAAGTTTAGGCCATTTGAAATCAATTTATAAAAAAAAAAAAACTAAATGGTCTGGCTTTTCAATATTTATTAATTGTTAACTGATGTGTGACAGCATTTTGGATATTCATGGGTAAGTTTTCTTTTATCTATTACATTTATTTTGACTTCTTTTTAGAACAATCACAACATTTACACCATTTATTACATCTACATTTACAATGACACGGTTTTTTATTGCAATGACAGCCATGTATTTTATATTCAGCTTCATAAACTGCATTTATTATCAGTTGGTTTAATATTTCATTAAACATAACCTCTAATTCTTCAATTAGTTTTTCCCTTTCTAAGCGTTCTTTTTCTTCTTTTTCAACTTTTAAAATCTAAAATTACATTTTACATACAAAACCGATTCTTAAATTTTTTATATTTAAAATTAGTTAAATCATATTTACCTTCCAAAATTGTCTCATTTCCGAGCATTCTTCTTCTTTACAAACTAAATATCGTCGTATGTAACTTTGCATGACTATAATGGCCTCATCTTTGGTCCAGAGCCAAGAAAGAGGATAAATAGGTCGGGGACTATAAATGATGTTACACGTTTTTAATTTTATTTTCAATTTAAAACGTTAAAAAGTAAGATAATCTGTTTAAAAACTAACTGGTAATTTAGCCAAATTATTACATAGGGAATATCAAAAATATCTCTGTGACTTTTATGCCTTTTGGGGTGAAGTGGATTTCTGTTCCATAACAATTCAGCTATGTAATCTAAACCGTTAAAACGACATTTCTGTATCTATAAAGAAAAACATATAATATTGTGTAAAGTAAAATTGATAAACATGAGTTGTATTACATCTTAACTCACCATTAAACAATCCCCTTCTTTTGCTTTAAAAAGTGTTTCTTCTAATATTGGACATAAAATATTAAATATATACTTATCAAGGTATTGTACAGCAGAAAGTTTTTTAGAAACAGGTAATGTAGGTTCAAAAGGTTTTTCTAAATTTTGCAATCTTTCAAATGTAAATTGTTTGTCATAGTATTCTGTTAGAAAATGTTGTTTTTTAATTAAATTATTGTTTGGAAAGTTATTAACATTTTTAGAAAAATTTGCTGACCATACAAAAAAGATTTTTTAAAAATATTTTCAATTAACTTAAAATTTGTCATTTGGGTTATGAAAGTTTTTTTTTCTTTTTTTAATACCAACATGTTTGTGAATTAGAACTTGGCCTTAATTTATATTTTTACTCTATTAAAATTTTTTTTTTACTTGTACCATAAATATTTAAAAGAAAATTACCCATCATTATTTCATCCCACAAAGATATTTTATTAACGGAATCTTCTTGTGTGGATTTTATCGATTCTTCGATAACATTTTCTTGCAAAAATACTTTCCAGGGGGGATTTGATCTATTTTAAAATAATAATAATAAAATAAAACAATTACTTTCTAAAATATTCAAGAGTAATAAGGAAATATGGAGAAAGTAGTTTTTTTAATTAATAAAAAAATAAGAAATAAAATTTAAATTGAGCATTGTTTTTTTTTTAATGCAAATTTTATATAGGCTGCTAATGTATTCTTAACGTTATAGTTTTTATTTTTTATTTTATTAATATGATTGTTAGTAAATTATGTTTTTTTTAATTATTATATAAATGATCTTTTAGTGTAATTAAATGTTAATTGTAAATTAGGTATTAAATGATATGAAGATTACCTATCAGGTTCTGAATCACAATCAACATTAAGACAGGTATTTCTATTATCCAAATTAAATGAGGAATCAGTAAAAGAAGTTAGAGGTGTTGTTTCGATAGCGGTGTCTGATTTTTGTGTATCAATTTCTAAATTTTCTTCTGTTGATATTTTAGTCATACATTTTCTATCGGTTATATATTTTCTTCTTTTCGGTTGATTTTTATTTTTGGGTATACATTTACAAGGATACATTTTTTTCATAGTGTTTGTAAATAATGTCAATTGACTCGAGCAGAATAAATTCGATGGTGATAATTTTTTTTTTTTAATCGGTGGTAATAATAATAATTTGTTTGCTATTGTAAGGATTTATTTACATTTTGATTTGTAAATATAAATTACAGGTCGCAAAATAATAATAAACGAAAGCAAAATTATTTTTATATAAAAAACATTTTTATTTATTTATTCAAATAATATTATCTACAACTACAAAACTTAATAATGTATTTTTTTTTTAAAAAATAAATAATATGGTAAAAATAAATTAATTAATTTAAATTTTTTATGTTAAATTAATTAATTTTTTTTTATTTATTTTTACATATAAGTATTAATTTAAAAAAATAATAATTTAAATTACAAAATTTTCAAAAGTCTTTACTAAAATTATATTTTAAAGCTTAATTTTGAGTCATTATTATTATTATTGTTTTTTTTTGTTGTATTCGGCCGTGGTGTACTATTTTTTTTTTTTTTTACGTTTCGAATAAATTACGATAAAAATCTACAATTGAGATCTGTGAGTCGGAATAGTACGGCAAAATACATTTAAATAATCTTAATAACAGGTTTAAAAAAAAAACAAATAAATTTCACTCGAGATTATTTAAATAAATTGAAAATAAATTAATATCGATTAGTTATTTGTCTAATCCAGTCGAGATAGTGAGATACTCTTACGTAAACACCGGGTACTCCATTTTGACCACAACCGACTCCCCAACTGACAACTCCTACAACTTGCCAAGAACCGCCACGTTCGCAAACCATTGGACCACCACCATCACCCTATAAAATGTTCAAAAATAATTAGTTTAATCCCCAGTTAAGTAATGGTTTCTATTTTTTGTTTGCTATGATTTATGACATTATTTTACCTTGCAAGCATCTTTTCCTTCTTCTCCTCCGGCACAGATAAAACCTGGATGTAATTTGAAATCATAACCTAACCTGGTTTGTTGTAATAATGCTTGACATTGATGATGCGAAACGATTGGCACATCGACTTCCTTCAAATAAAAAAAAAATCATCCGATAATGTAATTTGAATAATAAAATGATTAATGAATTTTTAACTATTTTTTAATGGTTTTTATAAAAATATAATTCGAATAGAATTTTAAGTCGTTACGTCCAAAATCAAATATCATTTTTTTTCTTTTTAAAAAAATTCAATAAGAAAGTTTAAAAAAAAATGTTTGATTTAAATTAATTTATCGAGGATAAGTTAAAATTTAAAAGGCTTTGTGCTAAAAGTCAATGAACTATTTATCTACATAGATTTAAATTCAAAACATTTGAATCTGATAAAACGTTTTTCGGTCGCAATAGCAACGATTACAATCAAACTAAGAAAATTTTATTTGATACACATGAACGATACTGACTAGTTGTTACTTCCTTGATTAAAATGAAATGAAATTTTAGAAAGTTTTCAAAAAAATACCTTTAGAATGTTTTGATATTTTCCGTAATCTCCAAAAGCATCTTTTCCCCAACCGGTTGTCCAACATCTACTTCCTACAAAATCTGTATGAGGATCTGGAAGGCATGCGGCACTAATGTGTGGGTTGTTTATTAAATCGACAGGTTTATCCATACGAAGTATGGCAATATCATTTTGTAAAGTTCCAGCGTAGAATTCTGGATGAATTTGTAAAAGGGAAACATCTCTTTCGATGTACGGGTAGAATTCGACATCGTGATTAACATCCCATTCTCCCAATCTAACTCTCAAATCGTAATGGGTGTAAGTTTTAACGCAGTGAGCGGCTGTGATAATGTGTAAGTTGTCGATCAAGGTTCCTCCGCAAACGTAAACAGATTCTTGAGGATCTTTTTTAAGGATAGCTACTTGCCACGGGTATTCACCTACGGGGGGGTCATTAAAATATCATAATTTGTTTTTTTTTTTTCATCTTTATTCAAGCGGTAATGAAATAAATCTGGTCGCGATAAACTCACCGAATTCACTTTCTCCATCTACATATGTTGGAGTCTTAATTCTACCGTTGATTCCTTGAGCGTTTCTTTTTCCACATTGTCCTCTATTGTGATTGTAATTAGCTTTATTCGGTCTTCGGCAACATACGTAACCTGGTCCACATCTTCCAGAGGAACCTCCGTAATAAGCTTGTCTCTGTAATTAAAAATTAAATACATTTTTGGTATTTTTTGTTTTTTTTTGTTAGAAATCGATCATAGAAACTTTACAAATAAATTTACCCATAATTTTTTTATTATCCTTAATTACGTAATATTTTACCGACAATTATTAATTAATGATAATAATGATTTAAATAATGAAATAGGAGTAATGAACAATGTGATGATTTTTACAATGAAAGAATTTTAAAATTATTTAAATTTTTAATTATTTCGGAGTAGATCTAATTTTTTTTTTTTTTTACTTCGGGAGAGGAAGTCTTACCTTTTCTACGTATTTTTCTGAAACATCTCTTTTACTTCTCGGAAAAGATACACGGTCTGATGATGACTGATGGTTAAGATTGAATAGTTGATGAGAGGAAGATGATGGCGATGCTGGTAATGTTAAAGGGTTATAAAAGTCATTTGATCGAATGTCAGTTGTCTTTGGTCTAGCAGAAATATTTAAACTTTTTCCGTTTCGCCTGTCAAAGCTTTCGTCGTACGTATCGTATTTATCGTAATAGTCGAAATCCGACAAATGTTCCGATTCGTAATCGTTATAGTTATAACCGTGATAGCTGCTATAAGATGATGTGTGCCAAGGTTTGGAATAAATAGGTTTGTCGGCATGATAGTTATATGGTTTTTTATATGTGTGCGAATAATGATAGTGATGATCGGTGTGACCGTGATCATGTTCGTGATCGTTTTCGTAATGTTTAACATATTCATGATCATTATTTATATTGTTTGCAATTTGATATAATAATTTTTTTTTAAAATCCCCGATTTTATGAATGGCATCGTGAGTCGGAGTCACGTGGAGATTTACAAAGGGTTTAACTACTCTTTCCCCCGAATCATCTTTAGTAACCTGAACCGAAACTAATGGGTTTACAGCTACCGGACCTATTTTAACCCCGTTCCCGTTTAATGAACTACCGTACGGATTGATTGATTGATGGCCACCCAATAGATTTAACGAATGATCTCCGGATTGAGGTAGGCCAAAGGATACACCATACGTTGGCGAAACCTTTAATTTGGATATCTCCTCTTGGATTTCGCCATTAAATATACGCTGTAACGGAAAATATTCCGAAGAATTAAATATTTATTCTTATAATAAAAGGGTTAATTCGCTATGGAAAAACTACGCTAACGGTTAACTTTTACGGTTAGACGTTAGGTTTAGACGTAAACGGTGTTTCGATTGACTTTCGAAGTTTGTTATCCAAGAGAATTGCATCCCATATTGTTTCGATGATCGGAGAAAAATAATATTATTGCAACGGTTTTAAAATTTGGGGGGGGGGGAAATTATTTGGTTAATCGTTAATTGCGTCGAAGTATATCAAATTTTTTTTTACGTAAAAAATTTAATATTCTATTGTAAAAAAAAAAAAATTTTAGTTAAATGATTTTCGCAACCATCACCGTGTTTGGATGTTGAAAGAAAAAATGTGTGGGGTTACTGGAAATGAAAAACTAAAATGGCGTTTCATGTTAAACTTACCTTATGATTGTCAAATGTTTAATAGTTATTTTAGTGAAAATAAGTAAACTCACCGGTTGAATTTCTGATTTGTCTTCTCCATTTTCATTTTTGCCGGGAGCTTGCCTTTTTGATCTATTTTTGGTTTCATCTTCCTCGGATTCTTGTTCAGCGCTTTCTTCAACGCTTTCTTCTTCGCTTTCTTCAGATTCACTTTCTCTTTTGCTTGTGGTTTTTGCTTGATGAGAAATGATTGTACCGTTACCGTCAGTAATCACGACGTCTTCCAACCCAATGGCTTGTATGTCAGTAGGGTTACTTCTTGGATCGATACCTAGAAATTTGATAGTTTTACATTTCGATTTCTCTTTGATCATAAAAAGTATTTCTTTTTTAGAATCTCTTTATGAAAAATTAAGTTTTAATTGGTTTAAAGCTTACCATTTCCTTCGTCCTTTCTTCCAATTATATCGTAACTGGGGCATTGACCAATTGGTACACAGGAACATCTTTCGAATTGATCGGCTCTTGGTGTATGGTAAGAAGAAAATCCACCAGCATAATTCGAAGATGATGATGAAGATGAAGAGAAAGAAGAACTTCCGGCATGAGAACTTCCGCCTAAATAGAAAAATTTTTTTATTTAGGTTTGAGGATATTTAGGAATGTAATATTCAAAGTTATAATGAAAAAAGAAACGGTTTAATGCCTACCCTTTATGTTATATTGTTTCTTATAAAAATGATCTTGATTTAAATAGCTTCCACCTGAACCTGATCCATACGATCCGTGACTACCACCGTAGATTCCATTAAAAGATCCACCAAATTCACCGGGTTCAACCGTTTCATAGACAGAAGGTACTGGACTAGGACCATATCCGCCAAACGAACCAGCCGTCGGAACTGGAACAGGTTTTTCGACAATAACTGGCCGTTCGACAACCAAAGGTTTTTGTGCAATTGCTAATGTAGCTCCTTGAGAAATAGCTCCAACATGGGCAACCCCTCCAGCTCCAACTGTTCCTGAACCGTGATGAAAATGATGATGAACATGTTGCTGAACTCCGGTACTGGCAGAAGCTCCTAAATAATTTAACACGATTATTAAAAAGTTTTTTTTGAAATTGGAATTCAAGATAAAATAAAAATATTATGTACCTTGAGTATTAACAACTACAGTAGATTTTTCACCATGATGTATTTGATGATGTTCAGCTTCTCCATGAACAAACGGAGGTGGAACTTCATGATCTATGATGCCCCCAGGCCCAGATATGTCTTCAAAATCTGGTTTTTCATAAATTGGATACGGTTTTGGTCCAAGTGGTCTGTGTGGTTTATATCCAAGACCTGGAGGTGGTGGTCCATATTTTCCAGGAAATGGTACTGGACGTGGTGGTCCGTAAGGTCCAACTAGGTAGTTCGGTTTAATGTGATGTGGGTTGCGTACGGGAACGGCAGGGATAGGGTGACCGACGGGTTTAACAGCTACTGGTTGAGCGTATATTACATCACTGGGATGAACAGATCCTCTTTTAGGTTCAATTTCATCTTCGCACTGAATAAAACAAATAATACATTTTTTAAAAAATTTTTTCGGGTGTATTATTTAAAATTTTTTCAACGGTTTATTTTTAATTACCTGCATGAGACCGAGATTACATAATCTGTCTTTGATGTAATGCCTGGCAGTCGTATCGTTACCACTTTGGATAGCATGTTGAACTTCAGGATCATTGTATATTTGATTATACTCTTGTAAAATTCTACCTTGTCTACTACTCTGAAGTATATTATCTGCCACTTGATCAACAGATTCGGTGTGTCTTATTTGTTTTTGACTTTCGCTAACACTTTCTTGTTTTTCCGATCCTCCGATCCAAGACCAAAGATCATCCGCATTTGACTCCGAATTATTAGCCAATGCGACTCCCAAAACCAAAAATGATATCCAAAGAACCTTCATACCTAAAATTAAATAAATTTTCATAAATATTTTTTTTTTCGAAAGATATGATGCTAATTTTTTTATTAACACCCAAAACACAATAATATCATTACGTAATTAAAAATTTAAAAGAAAAAATGGGGAGAGTGGGGGAGGGTAATCGTGATATAAGTTAACATTTCCAAAAAAAAAGAAGATACGCCTTAATAAAAAAAAGTTTAATCAGCAATGCTTTTTTGCAAATAAGTAAAACCAGTTTTTTTATTTTTGTTTTCGAACTTTCACTTTTGATGATATAAGTATTGTGTATATGGCTGACGCGTGGGTAGTCAAAACCTTAAACGTTTCATTTTCGATTGTACGATTGTATTTTCTCAAGGAAGAAAATCGGGAAAATTCGAATCTCACTTTTAATTTATCACGTGGTGATGGTGGTGTAACACTTTTCCGAAACAAAAAATTTCAATACAAAAGGGGAGAGATATTTTCAATGTTACTTTATAAGTCTTAAGTTTTAAAGAAAACTAATTGAATCATTCGAAATAATTTTTTCTTTTTTTCTCCATTGTTTTAAAAAAAAATTTTTTTTTTTAAATCAAACGCGTGGAAAATTAAACGTTTTCCCTCCTTTCTTTTTTTTTGAATAAAATAAATAAATTATAAATAATGGTAAAGTCAGTCGGTAAATTTATGTAAAATCCGCATTCGACGTCAAAAGTGATAAATTTTTTTTTTACGATTACGTAACAAGTTTAGAAATTATTTTAAAAGAAAGTAAAAACATTTTATTATTATTATTATTATTTTACGAATTCAATCGCCATTGTAATCTTAAAAAAAATTTACAATCTAAAATTTCACTTTGAATTTTTTTTTCTTTTTGATTTTTACTACGCGTAACAAAATTATTATTATTAAATTCCCGGTCATTGTTTTATTTATTATTATTTCCGAAAATTTAATTTTTATTAAAAATTTTAAAATGCCATTTTTTTTTTTTAAAAAAAAAGAAAACTTCCATCTTGTCGGTTAGAAAATATTAAATTATATAAATTAAATCACAATAGGGAAAAAATAATTACATGAGAAATACTATGTAAATAACTTTACATTGTTTAGAAAGCAATGAAACAAGAGAAATTTTCTATTTCTTAACTATTCATTATTTTAATTTTTTTTTTTTGTACGGTAAAGTCAGTTCATTCGACGATCCGGTTTATTTGTTCTTTAATTATTTTTTTTTTTTCATGGGCGAAATTTTTTTTTTTAATCGAAAAAAGTTAAGGAAGAAGGAAATTAATGGTCCCTTTTCCATTCGATGATTATTAATTATTATTATTATAATCATAATAACGATTATTATTAATATTGGTAAAAATAAATGACCGAGAACGAAGATAAACGGACGGACAGTTAGAAAGAGTGAGAAAGAGAGAGAGAGAAAAACAACAAATATTATACAATAAAGTAAAAGACTTTCACTTTTTAAACGTTTTTTTTAACCGATTGTGTCATGGTCAGAATCTTGTATCTTGATAATGAAAACCCTTACATCATTTATTACTCGATTTTATTATTGATTCGTTATCATAACTCTTCGTTATGATTATTATTTTAATTAATTGCAAAAAGGTTAGGAAAAAAAAAAAAAGAAAATTTTTTACTGAAGAAAAGTCGATAAAACCGGAAGGAAAAAGAAAAAGAAAGTCACAAAAAAATGTTTTTATTAATTTTTATCTTATGTATTTCCGGTTTGCCTTATCGCAAAGATTTGAAATCTAACGAATTACGTTGATTATGTTAAGAATCGTTTTAATATAAGATTGCGAATGATTAATATTTATCACATGGTTATGTAATTTATTTAAAATTCATAACTAATTTTATTAAAACTTTCATAACTTTTTTCTGCGTCATTTAAAAAAAAAAAATTACTTTAATTGTTGTTAAATAATTTTAAAACTTTTAAATTTTTTTTTAAAACACTCGAAATTGTATTATCAGTTACTGATAAAAAATTTAAGTAAAAGTAAATTTAAATTATAATTTAGAAATTTATGAAAAAGAAGAAATTTTAAACAAACGTACCTGATTTTATTTAATTTAAAATAAAGTTTAAGTACCAAAAAAAAAAAACAGCCGAAAAAAAAACCGTAAAAAAAATAAATAAAAAAACTTTTTTTGTTGTTTGTTGTTTGTTGTTGTTTTGATTGTAAAAACTTTCACTTCACTGACCACGCGTTTGCACTCACTTATAAGTTATGTTAACCGTTGTTGAGGTAATTTTAGTTTTATACGACTCCAGATCTTTTGTTTTTTTTTTTTTTTTAATGTGGTGGTGGTGGTAATATCGATGATGGTAATTCTCGGTATCATATACCGGATAAATCCTTATTGCAACATTTTTTTTTCCAGTAAAAAAAAAAATAATAATAATAATTTTTATATGATTTAAAAAATTTTACGTACGATCCGCGTTTTTGACCCATTTAAAATTAATTGATACGATTGTTTCGCTGGATAATTTTTTTGGAAATTCCAGCCGAAAATTTATAATTAATAATTTTTATTATTTTCATTACAAAACTTTTAAAAAATTTATTATTATTATTTTTTTTTCTTTTCAATTCATTTAATGGTAGCCATGTTTAATTTTTAAATCATCGTAAAAAATTTTTTTTTTTTTTTAAATTTCTGGAAAATGGGATTTTTGACGTTGCAAAATATTTATAAAAAAAAAATGTTTTAGCGTTACGATACAGGCACTTAAAATAATAATAATAATAATTGGGTTTTTTTTTTAACCATTTACGAACAAAAAAAGTTTTTTTTTTTTTTTTGCCTTTTGCTTGACATTTTCGTGTCCCCGTTTTTTTTTTTTTTTTTTTTTTTTTAGAAAAAAATCAGGTCTTCAATCTTTACAAGTTATCACAAAACTTTTTTTTTTTTTAGAACATTTTTTATCGTCAATAAAAAGAAATACAGTAATAGGATTCTTCTTTATTTATTTATTTAAAAAAAAAAAAAAAAGTAAAATAAATAAAAGAAAAACTTTAGAGCTTCCGAAATTAAAAAAAATTAGGTTAGTGATTCCAGATGGAGAAAAACGAAAAAAAAATTTTTTTTATTTATTTTTATTTTTCCTCCTCTTCGTGTTTCTTATTATTATTCTTATTATTATTATTATTATTGCTTGACTTTTTTACAAACGTACGTTAAACGTGGATTTAAAATTTCAACGATTTAATATAAAATTTTTATTAAAATTTTGTATAAATAAATAAAAATGAAATTCGTTACTCGATATGTTATATTCACTTCCGGCGGATACGTATATATTTTTAACGTATAAAAAAATTATTATTATTATTATTATTATTATTACGTTTAAAATTTTTATTATCATTATGAATTTAGTGATGAGGAAATAAATTTTTTAATTTTTTACATTTAATAAAAATCAAAATTGAATTTAATATTTAGGATTTAGGCTACCTATATTTACATAAGTTTATAAAAGTAATTGATAATTTATATTTAATTTAATTTATGAATGAATTATATTTGTTTCGTTGCTTTATTATTATTATTATTATTGCTTGTTTATTTGTTTTTAAATGGGGAAGAGAGAGAAAGAGTAAGAGAGAGAGAGAGAGAAAGAGAGAGAGAGAGTGAATAATTTTATTTACATCAAAGAGTAAAACGAAAGGTTAAATTAAATTTAAAGAAAAGAAAAATGGTAGGAAAAAATTATATACGTGTTGGCGCGAGGAAATTTTTACTTTGAAATAATGATAATGATAATAATAATAATTAATAGAAGCTATGTAATAAAAGTGAAATTATACAAAATCAGAGGCGCATCTTGATTGTATCCTATTCTGTAACTTTTAATACTAATTGATGAAAACAAAATAAATTATTAACTTTAACCTTGGGCGGGTAGAATTGTAATACCTGTCATTGACCTCGAATTGTTTATTAAACGAGTTGTTATCATAGAAGTTTCGGACTTTCCAAAAAAAAAAAAAAAAAAAAAATTTTCATGTCCTCATTTTTTCACCTCCTCCTCGTCTTCTTCTTCTTTTTCTTTCTCTCATTCTTTCTTTCTTCTAGGAAATCCTTTGTTTATTTTTTTTTTTTGTGGGGAAAAACCCGGGGAACCACGTGACTCATTTTTATTTAAAAAAAAAAAAAAAAAAACATTAGTTTACTTAATAAATAGTAATAAATAAATCGTTAACGTAAAATGAATTGGTTGAAAACGTAACAAACGCGCATGAATGATAATGATGATGATGATTGTTGCGGTTTAAAAACGTTTAATTTTATTATTATTATTATTATTATTATCTCATTGTAATTACCAAACTGGGTTTTAAATCGGAAAAAGAATGTTTGTATTGGTGTTTATGTAATGACGATTTTTTTTTTTTTCTCTGTATTTAGATCCCTTATTTTTTTTAATTTGCATAAAAAATATTTTTGACATTTTAAAATTATTTTTAATCGGTCAATCACTTTTATCAACGCAAAAAATTTTGCTCTTATCGATGGAAAAAAACAATTTTTATTTAATATAATTACTTGTAGGAAGAAAATTAAAGATTTTAACCTGGAAAACCATATATTGATAACGAGTTAAATTGAAAGCAATCACCGCCCACGCGAAAAAAAAAAAAAATATACGTATGAGACAGTATTATTATTATTATTATTATTATTACTAGTACTTGTTTTACGTATAAATTTATTAATTAGTTTAAAATTTACAAAAACTTATATTTCCTATTTATTTTTTTTTTCTACGATGACCGGGTCGTGCAAATATTTTGCTACTAAGTTAAACATTCGTTAATTAAAGTTTATCGACCTTTTATCGATGATAAAAATATTTTCAAAAAAATCATTTAAGGTTTATTCGGTACCTGAAATTGTCTCTCTCTCTCTCTCTTTACGTAACATTTCGCTTAAAAAAAGAAAAAAAAAAAAACTTGTTGCGAAGAAAAAATTGAAAA